GGACGGCGCACAAGCGACTATCTACAGGGATCCAGTCAAGGAGAGATTGTTCTGCCTACGAATCAATGCTATACCTACACCAGAGAGACCCCTGGAAGCAGCATCCGGTCTACCGGATACTCGAAGAGAATAGTGAGCTGCTTCTTTGTTTTGACAAGGTGAAATCAGATTAACAAATTTACTAAGATCCTGTATGCGCGTTTCCGAGACTCAGCATACATCGATTGAGTGAGATTCTAATGACCTAACTAAGGAAGCCTGTTGCCCTATTTGACACAATGTCCGTACAATAATTGCTCCAACATGTAGTCTAGAACGGGGTTTCAGGAGACCAGAAATGACGTTTCGTGAACTCGCATCGTTTGCATTAGCTGTGCAGTGTGATAAAGGAATGTGAGAAGACTTAGTCGAGGAGATAAGAGAAGTATTAGGAGGTGTAGGAAGGATTTGATTTTGACCAATTCGGTCTCGTGTGCTGCTACGGGTATGAGGGCAGTTATCAACTCCTGGCTGCACACACCGTGGAAGGTTGTTTCTTGAGGAACCTGAAAAGGAAGGTAGATTAGTGTTGGTCTTAACGACCAGGGTGCGTGACCGCAGAGCCCAAAGGACAACTGCTTGAGGCCGATCATGCACGGCCTTTCTATGAAAGGTTTTTTGAGTGTTAGCTCCGCTCTTGAAAGCCCTTAGTGGGCAACATTACCGACGGAGACGGAAATCCGTGAGGTAGGGTGAGGTGTGACATTATTAGGGTCGACCCTTTCTAACCCTTCCTTCCTTGTGAGAAGGAAGCATCGCTGCAGGTGCTGGTTGTCTGATGGAAACACCTTACTGATGTTCCACCCCTCTGCAGTCAGCAGTACGACTTTGCCCTCCGACCTTGAGTAGCAGCTTTTAGCCTCATCGTTCTCCAATCGACCTGCCTGGCATGGTAGAACCTTCAGGAACGTAAGTTCCAGCCAATATAGCTCGGTTGTGTCATCACGATATGAAAGCCCGACCACCACGTCAAGGTAGCAGCTTCGGTCGGGAGTCGTTTAGATACAACGCAAAACGTAGTACGCACGTACTTGAGACCGATTTCCTACACAACATTAGCACACAAAGATAGATTCGTCAATTCAAATCCATTAGTGGTAGAGGTTGGAGCAGCATTAGCGGTAATGGAAAAGATTAGGGTTCGAAGAAATTGTTCAAGTACAATTCAGTGACATAAATATAAAAAGAGAAGGACAGAGGTGATGGGGAATTCAGAAAACTACAACTTAATAGAAGACAAACTATGGATGCATCTGTGCCATTCCAAACGACTTTGAGCCATGTCATCCAAGGTGTTTTACCATTGGTTACGATTGTGTCGCAGACCCCAACCACGTATTCTACACCTACGAACATGGCTCAGTCAAGTAGTCAACAACTCCATGGATTTGTGCCATGTTTTGGTCCGGCCATGTTTAGCTGTCTTCCAACCTACTCCTACACCACAAAACATAGCTCGTCGATGCAGTCGGTGGTTAGGCATATGTAACACACCTCCTAACCACCTCAACTGATGGAGTTTCAATACTTCATCTATTGATTCGCCATCCCTACCTAGTACCCGTTTCCTAACGACAGCATTGCTTACTCGGTTGTCCCACGGTATACGAGTAATGCTTTGAAGACATCCATAATCAAATACTAATAACCTACCAATGTCTTCTACTCTCACTGGTCGTGTTTCGCATCCGTATAGTAGAACAAAGCGGACCGCTGCTCAGTAGACTCGTCCTTTGGTTAGCAGACGGATATCTCGCCTACGCCATAAGTGACGCAAGTTGGCAAAAGCCAGTCGGGCCCTCTGTATCCCTGCTGAGATCTCATCACTCACCACGCCATCAGCACTGATGAGACTCTCGAGATAAGTGAGGCGGTTAACATGCTCAACTACTTCAATCCCCACACTAGTTCAGGCGCTGATGCAAGCCCATCGGAAGACTCAGCATTTAGCCAGTGTCTTCACTAAACAGAACCATATCATCGGCATATTCTAGGTCAATAAGCGAGCCTCCTGGTAGGTGCACCCCTGAAAAGTCAGATGATGACAATGTTAACTCTAGAAGCATATCTACGACAAAGTTAAACAGGAATGGAGAGAGTGAACAGTCCTGACTAACACCATTTGAAGCAATCAATTCCGATGACAGTTCTCCATAAGCCCTAACTCGTCCAGTAGTGTTCAAGTAGATAGCTTGTATAAGGTTTATGTACTTCTTTGGTACACCTTTTGATGACAGACATTGCCACATAACCGCATGGTTGGCCGAGTCGAATGCCGCTTTAAGTTCGAGAAACACTACTATTGTCGGGCGTCTGAACGTTTCTTTGTTCTAGGACCTGACATAGTGTTGATATCTGGTCTATACATCCATGTCCATGCCGAAAACCAGCCTGGTTTTCTTCAGTCTGTCCTTCACGAGCTTTCGTTTAGCGTCACAGTATTATTGAGGTCAATATTTTCGATACAATAATAGTTAAACTGATTCTTGTGACTGTGACAAAAGAACTTTTGTCCTTTCTTGTAAATTGGAACAATTAGCGGAATTCTAACATTCATGGATTTTGGTTAATAATCTCATCTCGTGCTGTGATGCAGCATTTTAAGCTGATGTACATGTATGTCAGGTCCTACGTAAGTCATGATTGATTGATTTCAACTCATATTCGTCTTTACACACAAAAGAGCTGATTTTATAAATTTACTGACATTACATGGTGAGTACCAGGATAAGGTTCATCCTAGTTCAGCAATTAACAGGTAAAAAGTTTATAATTGGTCATGTAGATTTTAGTTATGTGATCTTTGATCCTGGTTAATTCAATCACGTTGTGAATGTAGAGCATTAAAAACAAAACTAATCCACAGATGAAGTCTTAAAAGTGTTTCAACTGTAGTGTCAAGTTAGGAATAGTTCACGCCGTAAAACCAACATATTCGCTGTTGAAATTTTCCACTGACGAAATGATGTTACAGAAGAATACCTATGAAAAGAGGTAGACTGACCAATTTGTCGATATCCAGGCTCACAAAAACATAATTTAGCAATACAAACCAGGCACAACCTGGTGGTTTCACAGAAAGTACCTTCAAAGATAGCGGTGGTCCCGGATTACGCTTCTAGTGACCAGAGATAATACTGTTTGCTATTCTATAGTAGTGTCTATCTGCTTCACGCTAACTAATTCATAGACAATCAGCTTTTCTCAGTTACCATTATATAGCAACTTTTCAATTCACAGTACTCTAGAATATTGACGGACATCGTGGACAAAATAGTCCAATCACATTCTGTATCCCGTTCATCAAAACTGAATTAAACTTTATGAAAAACAAAAACATTTAGAGACTTTATACTGCCATAAAGATAAAGACTGCATTTCAATTATATTACTAAAAGATCTAAATTTCGTGAGTTGACGAAATGTATTTAAAAAAAGACACCTTTTCAAGTCCCTAGGAATTGAGGTTATAAAATTTGAGGCCCAACAACCTTCAGTAACGGGACAGATTCCTAGTTTGCCTTCCACGGTAGTGATCAAAATACCCGATAACCACTTGATCTCTAAAATTCAAGTCCATCAGCAAAAACGTAGAACGTTGCAAGTACGCACATCAGTCCGAGTTGATACACAACATTAGCACACAAAGATAGATTCGTCAATTCAAATCCATTGGCGGTAGAGGTTGGAGCAGCATTAGCGGTAATGGAAAAGATTAGGGTTCGAAGAAATTGTTCAAGTATAATTCAGTGACATAAATATAAAAAGAGAAGGACAGAGGTGATGGGAAATTCAGAAAATTACAACTTAATAGAAGACAAACTATGGATGCATCTGTGCCATTCCAAACGACTTTGAGCCATGTCATCCAAGGTGTTTTACCATTGGTTACGATTGTGTCGCAGACCCCAACCACGTATTCTACACCTACGAACATGGCTCAGTCAAGTAGTCAACAACTCCACGGATTTGTGCCATGTTTTGGTCCGGCCACGTCTAGCTATTTTTCACCCTTTCCTTACACCGTGAAGCATAACTCGTCGAGGCAGACGGGGGTGGTTGGGCATACGTAACACATGTCCCAACCGCCTCAACAGAGGTTCCACGAATTCACCAATTGGTCTGCCATCCCTACCTAGTACCCGTTTCCTGGAAACAGCACTACTTACTCGGCAGTCCCACGATATTTAAGACATCAATGGTCGGATATTGTTGACCTACGATTACCTCCGCTTCTTAGTAGCCATGTTTCACAAAGCAGGACTTAACGAACAGATGCACAATAGACTCCTTTGGTTAGCAGACGGATAACTCTCCTACACCACATGTGGCGCAGGCTGGCATAAGTCAGTTCAGTCAACTTGGTAGAGCTAACATAGCAAAAATAAAAGACTTGCAGTTGTTTAGTCAGGTTTTGGAGACCTAATGGACTACGCTTTAGTTTGCACTCATCTTCATGCATTTTACTACGTAGTTGGAAAACCGAGAACTCCAGTATTCCTTTCACCCCGGTAAACACAGCAGAGGACTGGAAGTATTATAAGAAATGACCACTAAAATGTGGGCTAACACTTAACGTTGTCAAACTAGATTTTCTAACGGGAAAATGTAATTATGTTGGGTCACTGGTATTTCACAGCAGTATTGACAATTTCAGGCGTAGGACTGACCCCTGAGTTCCGTTTTTATTGACTCGATTCATGCATCAACGATCCACATGGAGTTGGGGAAAGTTTAAATTAAAACTTTGGAGCGCGGTGCCTATATACAAACCAGCCTCTTTGTGCATCAGTCGCCAAAATAAACACCCTACACGTACCCGGAAAACCGAAAACAGCCCAGCCAAGTATTACATTATGATACAAGATTTTGCACGGGGTTTAAATCTTCTGTATTCACTCGAAATATGTTTACCAAAATTTATCATACGATTTAAAATATTTGTGACATTTAAAACCTACATTTTGGTTCGAATCTATGGAATTTTTTAGTTTTAGCATGATGGAGTTTAGGGAATTGCTCATTACAGCGTAGAACATCGATAATCACCCACATCAATTGAGCCCGCAGAGATGGCAGGCTTAGTCGAGGGGTTTACATACCGCGCACTCAAAGTGCTTAGAGCAATTCTAACAAACAAAATAAATTACAAAACCACATTTATCGATGAGGTCATCACGTAAGGGCAAGAGAGATAGCTAATTTTATTTCAATGCAGAAGTTCGGTTTATAGCGTCTCCTAGCAGTCAAGTCAGAGACCAGCAGTGAATCTTACCGCGCGCTTGGTTGGGTGATAATGGCTAGTTATGTTGGCACTTTCGCATAGTTACTATTTTTTTTCAACTCAGCTGAAATAAATTCTTTAGAATAGGCACTAATTTTTTCACAAGCCTAATTTTTACTTCCTTTTTTTATGGGTTTTTTTGGCTTTTCCGTGTTCTCTGTATGGTTTAACAAAACACCTTACTGTTCATTTTTTGGCTGATTATTATATTTTGTGCTCACGTGTCTGTTTTCTTCCTCAAACCCCCGTGTGATGACTGGACAGTCCAAAAAGAACCTTCAAAAACATTTGGACTACCAGTAACCTGTTAAAAGTAGGATGTGGTAGATGATTTCTAAGAATAGTGTGGTGAAATTTGTACAAGTCTGACAAATGCAGCTTCCGAGAGGTTCAGCTAAGTGAAATACGTTTGATTTTGACATCAGAGCTGCTTTCGAAACGAAACCCGCTTTAAACATTACTTCGGATTATTGAAAGGTCTACTGAATACGTTAACACCCAAAGGCATCACAGAGGTTATGTTTTCGAACGTTTAAATACTAGGAACCCCGGAGACCCGTTAGGAGGATAAAAGTAGGTTGCTAAAGCAGTATTTGAATCTCTTAGTGCAAATAATGTGATACTACATAACAGATCGATAGTTTTTGTCCTGAATAATCGTATTAGAAAGCGTCAGGCAGAAAACGAATTATGAAAAGAGGTCAGTGAGAATGAAATTCGAAGGCTTGATTTTCTGGTGAGGAGGCTTTGACGAAGGATGATGCAGAAGCCGCTTTAAGTACAGCACGAAGTCGTTTGAATTTTCTTCCAGCCTGTTACTTAAGTGCCTCGAGCTTACTCAACGAGCGATCAGAGCTAGGTGCACGGATAAACTCAACTAAGCCGGACGTAACTGCCATAACAGAAATGTAGTTGGCTCAGCCTGTATAAAATAAGCCGCTTGATTTCGGAAACTTCACATTAGCTAGATCTGATGGAGTACAAAAACAGAAAACATGAGAAGTAGCCTTATTCACTAGAAATACTATTCCCTTCACCGTTACCGACTACAGTACCCATGAAAGTTAGTAAATTCATTACGCATGCCACACCTAATCGAGCATGGGCCACCGACCAGCATTCTCGCTCCAACTCTGTCCAGGAGTTCTGCCCATTCTTTTAATGTTTGTCTCCGATTCTCAGGGCAATGTGTTTCATGGATTACTTCTACTCCTGAAGCCTTGAGGCTTCAGAATTGAGGTTTGCTTCGTGATGCAGTTGATTAAGGTAATCCGTGTGTGACATATCCATATCCAGCGCTTCTTCCTCATTTCGTCCTCCGCTGAGATCTGGTTCGTGCTCACAGTAGAGTGTTGCTCATGGTGTCTGGCCAAATGAGCCGAGTTGCCTTGGCATTCGTATTGAAAATTCTTTGGTGTTGATTGATAATTGTTTTGAGTTCAGATGTTCTTCAATTGTAAAAATATAGCTCTTGCTTTGCTAATCCAAGTTTTCACATCTGCATCCGATGCACCATGCTCATTAATGATGCTGCCCAGATATGTAAAAGTTTTGACGTCCTCCAAGGCATCTCCATCAAGAGTGATTTGGTTGGCGCATGTTGTGTTGTATCGCAGAATCCTGCTTACCCTTTATGTATGTTGAGACTTACTGTTGCAGAGGCTGCGGCCACACTAGTATTCTTCCTGTGCATTCGCTGTTGCGTTTGCGATAGAAGAGCCAGATCATCTGAGAAGTTTAGATCGTCCAGCTGCATCCTGGTTGTCCAGTGTATACCGTGCTTCCCTACAGATGTTGTTCTTCATAATACGGTCGATCACCAGGAGAAAGAGAAAGGGTGAGAGTAAGCAGCCTTACCTGGCACCGGTCTTCACCTCGAGCGAGTCTGTCAACTGTCCTCCATACATCATTTCTCAGTTTGGTACATCATAATAATTCCGTATTATGTTGACTTTCTTCTCAGGCACGCCGTAGTGTTGAAGAAGCCTCCATTGTCATCTTGTCCACGCTGTCGAATACATTCTCGTAGTCAATGAAGGTGATGTAAAGTGGTGAATTCCATTCATTTGATTGTTCCACAATGATCCTTTTTATACCATTTGCGAAAGAGAAATATCTTGGTAACAAATAACATCCCGATTATCCGGTGATTGAGAATAATTATATTTTCTCAGAATGGTTAGGTTAACACGAGTTTGATTTGTAATCCAGTTGTTCTATAAAACGTATAACTTAGATTTCTGTGTTAGTGAGCTTACTGGGCTAGTCACACTCAGGTAAACATTTGGTTCCACTAGCTTTTTTCTGTAATTAGAACACCACTGAAAGCCTCTAAACCAATTCGAACTAAATAAGGGACGCAGCCAAGGCTAATTCAACTCTTCACTTTATGTGAAGACAACTTGCTGCTAACTAGGCGAAATCATTCCTAACGTTGTTTAAGACATACGCACTTCCATCAAGGCAATCCTCGAAAAGTTGCGTATGGAAGAGCGGACACTCAGGTTCATGCACAATTTCATAATCCAGTCGACCACCAAGAGAAAGAGAAAGGGTGAGAGTAAACAGCCTTGTTTAACACTGGTCTTTGCTTGGAAAGAATCTGTGGGCTGTCTACCACACATCATTTCTCAGTTTAGAACATCATAATAATTCCGTATTATGTTGACTTTCTTCTCAGGCAGGCCGTAGTGTTGAAGAAGCCTCCATTGTATCATCTTGTCCACGCCGTCGAATTCTTTCTCGCAATCGAAGTAGTTGATGTATAGCGATGAGTTCCATTCAATTCAAATCTATTAGTGGTAGAGGTTGGAGCAGCATTAGCGGTAATGGAAAAGATTAGGGTTAGAAGATGTTGTTTAAGAAGTATAGTATACTATGATTACTTTAGAAGGAGACATATAGAGGAGATGGAGAATTCAAAAAATTACAGTTCAACAGATGATGGATGCATATGCGCCAGTGCAAACGATTTTGAGCCATTTTGTTCAAGGCCTATAACAGTCAGTTACGATTATGTTGCCGACCCCGACCAGATAGTTTGCTAAATTTTTTGATGCTGCTCAACCATGGTCGGTTAGGAGAAAATCAATCTATCATAAATCACTTGACTTCGAGTACATGTGCTGCCGGCTAAAGAAACTTAAATGTCTAATTTATTAGTATTAATTTGGTATCTTCTCTTTATGAAGTTTTGTCTTACTCAGAAATTCTCAGCCCAGAACCATGTTTCTTTCATGTTCTTTGAATAGGTATCTAAACTTACCACCAAAATATCTTTTAACCGACCAGAATCCTAAAATTGATAACTTCAGTTGACCTTATAAAATTATGATATGCCAAATGAATATCTAACCCACTATACAGAAGCCTTTAGTGTCTGATTTGCTTGTGACATGGGACTAGTAGACAGTGATTAGACAAAGCGATATCAAGATATTTGACTGACAAGAATGAGTCTAACACAACGAAAGGAGTGAGGGCGATGTAACTGGCCAGAAAACCTAATATGGATAAAACTTCAATACACCCTTGTCTGTATAGAGAACGGCTTCTTCCGACCTAGCAGGATGTAAGTAACCAGTGATGTTGACATAAATTCAGCAAGTTAACTACGTCTTTGACTCGTGTTTATAACCCTGAACTGGTTTTGCTTACTATTAAGAAGTCCTATTGCAAGCTGACCTCGGCATTTAGGTTGAATACAGTTCCCCTGTGATTTCATAAGAGTGACAGTAACAAAAATACTTGTGCATCGAATCACTGTGCCTTTACTGTCGCATTTTGTAGGTCTACATAATTTTTAATATTTCACTTCTTTAAAATTTCGTCCATTCGTACGGTCATATGTTCATTCGTTACCATATTATCGTATGGTTTTGAATATTCCATAGAAATGCAGCTGTGCAACAGGCGATCTAATAAAAAGTCGAATTCATCACAACTTAATGTTTTGAGCACAAATGCACTTGTTGAGTCATGAATGAATTACGATTACAACTATTTTCTGTTGCACTCCTCCTCTCTTCCTAATTTTCTTCATGCACATCACCGAAAGCACGTATATGAAACATAACACTAGGTCCTACGCCTTAATAATTTCCGCTATCTTTCCAGAAACTTACAGTTGCTTTCGCCAGAAACCGGTCAAATCTTCATAAGGAGAACTTCATCAAGAAAGTGGGTATGCATTTACCTCATCAATTCTCATAACTTACGGCTCTAGGCTTTCATTAATTATCAACCATCACTTGTTCGTATCAACGCAACCAACACAATTTGCGCAAACTTCGGCATTGTATATTTGAGTCTTGCTAACATTATTCATAATCTCATATGGGTAACATAACCCCTTTATGTCAATGGCCGGTGGATCCTGTAAAATGCAACTCTAATTGATCAACTTATTACAAAATGTCTGATAGTATTTGCAACGATTTGATCTTCTCTGTAAACTGGTTTGCTTTATGTAACTTACTGATATTTGAGAATAAATTTTATCATTAATATGATAGTAAACGGTGGCAAAGGGGATCAGCTCAATTGGCCCAAGACTAACGACAGTAAGTGTTTTTCCATACCCACGAAAATAGCTGTTTTCTCGATTTCCTGTTATCTAAAAACTTTTTTTCAACCCGACAAAATGTAAAGCAGTTTAATCTGTATTGCAAACTACAAGTGCATCTTCGGCGATTTCCCTCAAGAGGTGTTTCAAGATGGGATTGATATAGGATTCCTGGAACCGTACAATTCAAGGTCTTACGCAAAGTGTGTCAAGAATGCCATTTTGAAAACCTTGCATCAAAAAATTTATAGTGCACCTTTTGCCGGAACGACAGTATAATTTCGACCCGACTTTCGAGCCTTATTCGGCCCCATTTGGAGTATGGAAATACAGATTTTCTTTCCTCACTGCAAAAGAATACAAACGTAATTGGAAGTATCCAAAGACGTGTCACAAAATCAGTTTAAGGACTCGGAGTCTAACCCTATGAATATTGTCTCAAATTGCTAAATCGCTACTTATCAGAGTATAGGTGCTTCAGAGAATACCTGTTAATGACTTACACTACTAGGCATCGCCCAAAATGCTCACTAAAGCTCGGTTCCAACAAAAATCTCAGAGACAAAACTCAGGAATCGGAGAAATAGGTGCACCTTCTTCTTTTTATGGGTGGTTAGGTCGTTAAATTCGCTGAAGGACGAGGTGTTTCATGCAACTTCATAGGAGTCCTTCAAGAATAAACCTGCTACATTCCGATAGCGCTTAATTAACTGATATTTCTCTTCTACATGTTACAAGTAGCTCTACGTTAACACATTCTTCTATTCTGTCCACAATCATATGAATCATTTGATTGTTATCCCTTTATTTATTTCAATTATGACAACTTGCTGCTATCACCTCAGAATTATTCTTAACGCTGTTTAGGACATATACACACCTACACATTGAGGTTCACAACGGTGTCTCACCCTATCTCCTTAAAAGAGACATAAATCTCCTGAACTGAGTTCAGAGAAGAGCAGCGAAATGTGTGATAGGGTTGCAAAAAAAACTTATGAAAATGGACTCCAGCATTTGGGACTATTCCCCTTAAATTACAGGATAATCAGAGGTGATCTGATCATAGCGTACAATATATTAAGCAAGCCAAACCATCCCAACGTGAGCATCTTACCGATGCATCACCGTCAGGACCTTCGAGGTAATCCTCAAGAAATTGCGCATGAAATAGCGAACACTCAGGCTCGTGCACACGTTTCCTCATTAAGTGTCGTTGCAACTTGGAATGCTCTCGCAGCCGAGGTAATCACAGCTCCCTTAGTGGACAGCTTTAAAAAGAGACTTGATAAACTCGTACTCACATACGGATTGTCATATCCCTCGTGGACCAGATGAGCCTGATGCATGTTTTGAGACCTGCAAGTTGTTATTGTTGTCATCTTCTCAGATCACTAACTTAATCTATCTCTCTTGTAGTCTCTGCTGCCTCTCTCTTGCTTACACTTCGGTCCTTTCTCATAATCTTCACTACCAACCAATAGACTAATTTATTTATTTACATACTTAGTTATGACACCTCTTAATTAGCAATAACATTTTCTGCTTATTATTCTCCACACTGCAACTAGCTGATCTCCGGTCTGGTAATGTGATAGCTGTTAGTATCCAGAAACCGCATTACCCTGAAACAAACGTATTCATTCAAATCACGTGACATACAAACTCACAAACAACTGCCAACTGACTAGAGTTAATGACGTCGAGTGGCTAGATTCCCATCCATTGGACACTACAGAACAGCTGAAACCGTACCGAAAGAACAAGAATCGAGAGCAAAGAAATCAGTTGGTTTATGCTAGCTCGTGGAAAAGATATTGGATATCTGAAGGATTTCCATCCCATTACAATGGCAAGTGATCTGCGGAAGTTTGTTATTTCAAGAAAATCTGAACCTTGAATCTCCCTTAGTTTAAACGCAGTTTCGTGAACGTTGCAGTTTGGTTGGTGACGGCGATTGCTTTCGTTTCTGCTCAAGCTATGTGTGCACTAAATACGTAAGTCAAAGTGTTGTTTTCTGAACATATATATATCCTTGTGCAACGAACCTGCTAAACACCCCTTTTATCCACTCACAGAAATCCAGGTGATGATCCTTCATCTACGCCAGGTGCCAAGCCTAATCGCTTAATGGTTTGCGATCTGATCAGTGATAATAACTCAGTCATTTATTTATCTCAGGTGGGTACATTGTCAAAATAACCACTATTTTCTAGCCCAAAATGGATCAGTTACATTTGTTTCGTGGTGATACTGTGTTTGTCAAAGGCAAGAAACGTAAAGAAACGGTGTGTGTAGTTCTTGTGGATGAGAAGTGCTCAGACGATCAAGTTCTTATCAACCGTTGTGTTCGCAGTAATCTACGAATAAGGTTAGGGGATTTCGTCTACATAAAGTGTTGTCCTGACATCCCCTACGGTAAACGTGTCCACATCTTGCCTATTGACGATACGGTTGTTGGTCTCACAGGGTACTGTTAATTGTATGTTAATGAGTCTCTAGAAATCTATTTGAAGTGTTCCTAAAGCCTTACTTTCTGGATGCCTACCGACCTGTACGGAAGGATGATATATTTATCGTACGTGGTGGAATGCGAGCTGTTGAGTTCAAAGTCATCGAAACAGATCCATCACCTTACTGCATTGTTGCTCCTGAGACGATTGTTCACACTGAAGGAGATCCAGTAAAACGAGAGGTATGTATGGTTCATTTCTTTATTGTATTCTTATAGGACGAAGAAGAAAAGCTAAGTGAAATAGGTTACGATGACATAGGAGGTTGCCGTAAGCAGCTAGCCCAAATAAAAGAAATGGTGGAGTTACCTCTTCGTCATCCTCAGCTATTCAAAGCTATAGGTGTGAAGCCTCCTCGCGGAATACTTCTTTACGGACCCCCCGGTACCGGTAAAACCTTGGTTGCTCGGGCAGTAGCCAATGAAAGTGGAAGCTTTTTCTTCTTAATTAATGGACCAGAGATCATGTCGAAATTGGCTGGCGAGTCAGAATCTAACCTGCGTAAAGCATTCGAAGAGGCAGAGAAAAATGCACCAGCCATAATCTTTATTGACGAACTTGATGCAATCGCCCCTAAGAGGGAGAAGACCCATGGTGAGGTAGAACGTCGCATCGTTTCTCAGTTGTTGACATTGATGGATGGTCTAAAACAACGAAGCCACATAATTGTCATGGCTGCTACAAATCGTCCCAATAGTATTGATCCCGCACTTAGACGCTTTGGCCGTTTTGATCGCGAAATAGAGATAGGTATTCCTGATAGTATTGGAAGATTGGAGATTTTACGAATACACACCAAGAATATCCGGCTGGCTGCAGATGTTGATCTTGAGCAAATAGCCAATGAAGCTCATGGTCATGTAGGAGCTGACTTGGCCTCGTTGTGTTCAGAAGCTGCTCTTCAGCAAATAAGGAGCAAAATGGATCTCATTGACTTAGAGGATGACACAATTGATGCTGAAGTATTGAGTTCGTTGGCTGTAACGATGGATAACTTTCGCTGGGCCTTAGGAAAGAGCAATCCCTCCGCCCTTCGCGAGACCACAGTTGAAGTACCTAATGTCACATGGGATGATATCGGTGGTTTAGAAAATGTAAAACGAGAGCTTCAGGAACTGGTCCAGTATCCAGTTGAGCATCCTGATAAATTTCTGAAATTCGGTATGACTCCAAGCAAAGGCGTTTTGTTTTATGGTCCTCCAGGGTGTGGTAAGACATTGTTGGCAAAGGCTATTGCAAATGAATGTCAAGCCAATTTCATCAGCATTAAAGGACCCGAACTCCTCACTATGTGGTTTGGCGAATCTGAAGCAAACGTCCGGGACATTTTTGACAAGGCTCGACAAGCGGCACCATGTGTGCTTTTCTTTGATGAACTGGACTCTATTGCCAAAGTAAGTAATGCTTTATGAATTTACTTAGTCGACTGCTTCATGTACAGCTCGTTCATTTGTGCTCAAGAAGTGTTTTATGGGCATCAGTTATTTCAAATCAGATTATTCAAAACCTTTGTTTCTTTGACCTAGATTCTGTTAACACTAAGTTGACAATTCACGACTTTAAGATTGAGAAAAACGCTATTGATCAGGCTAAGCTTATTGTTTCCGGTCCAGTTCGGAATGCATGAGATGAATCCTATGGCTTGCACGCAAGTATTGCTCATTAACTTGGGCAGTATCTAAGTGGAACTTACATCAGTACTAATAAGGAAGACGACAATATAATCAGAAAAATGCTATTTCAAAAAATGAGTGCATTCATACTTTTGCTCTCGAATGTTATATCCAATGGTTTTTCAGATACCAGCTTTTGAAGTCTGAGAAATTACTCATAGGCTCTCAGTTCTGTGCACTTTTCTCGTGATCTAGTCTCTTACTTGTTCTCCATACCCACAACTCTAATGATAGTTTCTGCACTTCTGTTGATTTTGGAGACTGTATAAAGTGATGAGAAAAACATTTCCATGGCCTTCCTAATGGATCACATTGTTCGCTTTTCGTTCTGATGTGTCGTCCTGATATTTCCATTTAAACTAGTGCATTTCTCATAACAGCGTTGTCTACTTCTCTAGGCCCGTGGAGGCAGTGTTGGGGACGCTGGAGGTGCTGCTGATCGTGTTATCAACCAACTTCTAACAGAAATGGATGGAATGTCTGCTAAGAAAAACGTTTTTATCATCGGTGCTACCAATCGCCCGGACATCATTGATGGGGCCATCTTGCGTCCCGGAAGACTCGACCAACTCATCTATATACCACTGCCAGATGAGGCCTCAAGAGTCAATATTCTGAAAGCAAATTTAAGAAAATCCCCGATTGCTAAAGTAAGTTACTACTTTTTCTGATTCTCATTAATGAATCACTTTAATGTGGGTCCCTTACATCTTCGGTTGGAGTCTATAATCCATGGGCATAACTGAGTTGAGCTTAAGGGTGCCCTTTGATAAATATATATCAAATTTTCCGAATTAGAAAATAAAATTAATTGATTTTAATCCCGGTTTGTTGATCCTGTCTTGTTACACTTTATTCTTTACAAAGTAGTGTGGAGGACGCAATAACCTAGCATCCTGTTGTCAGCTATTCTACAGTCGGTACCAGTTTCACGTTAAAAACTATCTGTATTATCTATTGTCAGTGACTCGGAGTTTAAGTACATTTATAACGGCCCACGTTCAAGTGATTTTCGTCATTTAATAATTCCCATTTCTCCCGACCGTAGCTACCACGTTGACGTAGTGGTCGAGTTTACCTATCGTGATGACCCAACCGAGCTATATCGGCTGAAACATGTGTTCCTTTAGATCCTACCGTGCCAGACAGGTCTATTGGGAAACGGTATGACTAAAAGCAGCGACTGAAAGTCTGAGGGCGAAGTCGTACTGTTGACTGTACAGGAGTGTGACATCAGTTAGGTGTTTCCCTCGGACAACCAGCATCTTTAGAGATACTGCCTTCTTACAACGGAAGGGGTGAAATGTCGACCCTAAAGATGTTAAATTCCACCTTACCCCACAGATTTCCGTGCCTGAGAAGAAAGTCAACATAATACGGAATTATTATGATGTACCAAACTGAGAAATGATGTATGGAGGACAGTTGACAGACTCGCTCGAGGTGAAGACCGGTGCCAGGTAAGGCTGCTTACTCTCACCCTTTCTCTTTCTCCTGGTGATCGACCGTATTATGAAGAACAACATCTGTAGGGAAGCACGGTATACACTGGACAACCAGGATGCAGCTGGACGATCTAAACTTCTCAGATGATCTGGCTCTTCTATCGCAAACGCAACAGCGAATGCACAGGAAGAATACTAGTGTGGCCGCAGCCTCTGCAACAGTAAGTCTCAACATACATAAAGGGTAAGCAGGATTCTGCGATACAACACAACATGCGCCAACCAAATCACTCTTGATGGAGATGCCTTGGAGGACGTCAAAACTTTTACATATCTGGGCAGCATCATTAATGAGCATGGTGCATCGGATGCAGATGTGAAAACTTGGATTAGCAAAGCAAGAGCTATATTTTTACAATTGAAGAACATCTGAACTCAAAACAATTATCAATCAATACCAAAGAATTTTCAATACGAATGCCAAGGCAACTCGGCTCATTTGGCCAGACACCATGAGCAAAACTCTACTGTGAGCACGAACCGGATTCCAGCGCAGGAGTTGGGTGTGACACATTGCGGAAAGCACCCTAATGCGTCACAAGACAAGCCGTCACTCGGAACCCTCAAGGTTGAAGGAAAAGAGGAGGGCCAAGAGAAACATTACCTCGAGAGTTGGAGACAGACATGAGGAGAATAAACAAAACTTGGACGGGACTGGTGAAGGAAGCCCAGGACAGAGTAGGTTGGAGAATAATGTTTGGTGGACTATGTTCCATTGGAGTGACAGGCGTAAGCAAGCAAGTACAAATTGAATAGAACAAACTAAAAGCCCTCTCACCCGGATGGGTGATGAAAACAAACTCAAATCGCATTACTAAAAATGACCCAATCAATCATGTGTCGATCACTAGCTTGGTAGGTTCTGGATGCTAGCCCTTTTCGACTTGAACAGCTAGATAATATCACTAGTTCATATAAGAGTGTGACTTGGCATAATCGATACTTCTCTAGTCATGTTGTCTATACCTATTCTTCTACATTATCATTGATCGTATATTTTAAGCCTGTTCAACAGTTTATTTGATAGTGTTGTCTTGCTACACTTGCTATAATTTCCTCATCGGTGTGCAAGGTTGTTCAATGTGATCTTTTTGACTGTTTGACAAACGTTTACCGATTTTTTTTATATTAGGATGTTGACATTAATTTCTTAGCAAAAGCTACCCAGGGGTTTTCGGGTGCTGACCTCACAGAAATATGTCAACGTGCATGCAAACAAGCAATACGTGAATCTATCGAGGCGGAGATACGTGCTGAGTGTGATAAGAAAAACAAGCCTAACGCTATGGTAAGTTGTTTTCTAGATGTTTCATTTTCTTGTGTATCCCAGAAATAATTACTGTAATATTTTATCCCCACATTTTGATTAAGTATAAGGTATCTTTACAGTATTCTAAAAATTTTTGGCTGTTTCAGAAGCTGCTTACAATGAATTATGCAGCTCTTCTGATCCGCATTCCAAACCATGCTTTAGTATTATTGTTGTTTATAAATGTAGGTAGGAAAATCTGCTCGTGCTTTTGTCCGCACCCAAAGTACACTCATTAGTTAGAAATAATTTCCACGTTCCTCTAATATCTTGTAGAGTCACTTTCCTAAACTTACATCCTTTCTAACGACAACTGGAATTCTCTAGTCATTCATCTTCTGTGCCCGTGTAGGAATAAACATTCAGTTTAAGTGATGGACATAAAAAATAACTATCATATACCCTACTTACTTAATTTCTAGAAAGTGCAAAACCGATTCGAATGTATTATTTGCTTGTCTTTACAGAAAATTCAAGATAATTACTATTTCCAATCAATGTATGCATTACATAACCTCTACCTTTACCATTTATTTCCTTGTAACAATACTCATATACTGGGATTTACAGTCTTTAGCAGCTGTTCATTATTCCTTACCTCGCAACGGTAATTTCTGGAGCTACAATCAATGCAGAAAACCAAGAATTACGACAGATAGTCAATGTATTTACTAATCCTCAATTTTTACAACTTCTAAGCTGGTGAATATTTTATGCCTTAAAGCGAAACCAATCAGACGTCAATCATTTGTCGTTGTCTTAATATCGAAAACCAACCAATTTCCCTTTATTAACCAGAAATACTAGTCTTCTAAGCATTGCTCGCATATACTGCCAGTACCAGGTAGGTTATGTTGTTAGCTTAGTCGTGAATATACGTAGTTAGCGACCGCCTACTCCGTAGTATTGGTTGTCGTAGTAGATAGGAAAGCGTTGCGAAGAAATTATCTAGAAACCGGCAAGAATAGGATAGCGCGTGTTACCCCTCATGGAATATAGATCGCCGAGCAGGGATCTCCAGCTTACTCTGTCCTAGGTTCTCCTTCCTAGTTGATATCTATATCACATTCCTGGCATCGTGTTCTGCTGTCTGCCACTTTTCCTTTTGCTTAGAAGATTCATAGATCTTGCTTTGTGATGCAGTCGGGTAATTTCCACAATGTGTGTCCTATCTGGTTTTAGTCGTTCCCCAAATTCCAGATCCGTACAAAAGGACTGTCGTATTGAAAATCTTGACTTTGGAGTTGGCTGACAGTTGTTTTAAAGTCTAGATGTTCTTCAATTGTAGGGGGAGGTTGTGCCCTTGTTTTATCGATCCGCGAATTGTCATCTGCATTATATACTCTTTGCTCATTAATGATATTGGCCAGGTACGTAAAAGCTTCCTCTTCTAGAGCTCCCTCTAATGTGGTTTAGTTGGTACTCGTGTCGTGTTTTGGGGTCTTGCTTTTTCCTTTGTGAAGATTGACGACTGCTGCTGCAGAGGTTGCTGCTATGCTGATTGTCTTCACTTGCATTTGTCCCTGTATGTGGGATTTAAGAGCAATTCCATCTGCAAAGTCCAACTCTTCTAGTTGTATCCACGCTGTTCATTGTATTTCGTGCTTCCCCTGAGGTTATAGAGGTCTTCATGATCCAGTCAGCAACCAAAATGAGGAGGGAAGATAGGAGTTGTTAGCCTTTTCTGACACCGGTCTTTCCTTGAAATGCATCAATGAGCTGCACTTCGTCCATGTAGTTCATTACGTTGCAGGAATTCCATATGATGGAGAAACTTTTCAGGGATACTATAGTGTCGAAGAAGATTCCATGAATTTTTCCTACTCACGTTGTCAAATGCTTTTTCATGGTCAAGGAAGTTGATACATAGTAATGAGTTTCATCCAGTTGATTATTCAGCGGTGATTTGTAGTGTCGCGATTTGGTCAGTGTATCATCGATGCTTATGAACACAGGCCTGTTGATCTCAAAGTTGGGCTCGTACTGAATCTTTCACTCGGTTCAACAACGCTCTGTTGAAGGCTTTTCTTGGTAGTAAGAGTGCAGTGATGCCTTTGTAGTTCTCACACTTGTTAATATCTTTCTTTGGTAAATCGATGAGGTATCTTTCTTCCCCGCCTGTTGGTACTTATTATTCCTTCCAAATCTTGCTGAACAGAGCGTGTATAATCTTTGTAGTTACTTTAATGTCTGCTTTCAGCTGATGTGTTGTCTTGTTCTGCTGCTTTACCACCACTGTTTTATCGGATGGTCATTCTGATTTCTTCGATTTTTAATGCGCTGGTTTTGAACTTCTGTAATATTGTATGCCCTGTTGTTCAGTGCTTCTTTAGTTTCGGTTTTCTCTTGGCTATGAACAGGTGTTAAAGTGAAGTTATGTCGGCTTCACTCTTTGGTCCCATGTCCACCATGGTTTTTCTGAACTTTACATTGCTTGTTCTTAGTTGTAGAGTCGAATGTCGGCTCTCACTGCACATAACTAAGGTGCTTTTAGGTGTAAATAATCTAAACTTGTTACCTGCAGTAAGTAATACGAAATGCTATGATTTCTAACACACACATATATATATATATATATATATATATATATATATATATGTATATGTATATATATACGCTGATTTTGTTTCGCTCTGTTATCTTAGGAAGATGATTTTGACCCAGTACCTGAAATAACTCGTCGTCACTTTGAGGAAGCAATGCGTTTTGCAAGGCGCTCAGTCACTGAAAATGATGTTAGGAAATATGAAATGTTCGCCCAAACACTGCAGCAGTCAAGAGGAATAGGCAGTAACTTCAGGTTAGTATATAATTTTATCTTTTCACTAGTATATAAAAGCATCAGGAATATATTTGAGGAATAACTAGAAAAACAGTTAGTCAACGATTCAAGTGATGCTCCTCTCGAGGCAGCTTATTCTGCTATCCAAAAGGCTGTGGCAACAGCGGTGACAACTACCAGTAACTTAAACCAAAAGGTTAGGAAAATTATTGCATTTCAGTGGCATCTTTTAAACTGGTAGGTGCTCCGAAATCCATCATATCTGGTCCTGAACACGATGAATAGCGGATGCAGATAACAAGCCTCTGCAATGATTGTGAACAGTGGTGGGTAGCAACAGCAAAAGATATGGAATAGGTGGCAGCGATGGGAAACAGCAGAAAAATGTTCGGAGGTATCAGGGAGACTGGTATTATGGATGCGTCTGTTAGCGATACACTCTTGGTCCAGTTTTGGCAGTTGAATTGACTGAGATCTTAACTAGAATCTGGGAACTAGAAGTACTCTCATCTGACAAGTCTCTGTCAATGTTAGTTAGTTGGCTACATCGTAGAACTTCGTAGTACGTACTTCAGTCCGAGTTGATACACAAAATTAGCACACGAAGATAGATTCGTCAATTCAAATCCATTAGTGGTAGAGGTTGGAGCAGCATTAGCGGTAATGGAAAAGATTAGGGTTCGAAGAAATTGTTCAAGTATAATTCAGTGACATAAATATAAAAAGAGAAGGACAGAGGTGATGGGAAATTCAGAAAATTACAACTTAATAGAAGACAAACTATGGATGCATCTGTGCCATTCAAAACGACTTTGAGCCATGTCATCCAAGGTGTTTTACCATTGGTTACGATTGTGTCGCAGACCCCAACCACGTATTCTACACCTACGAACATGGCTCAGTCAAGTAGTCAACAACTCCACGGATTTGTGCCATGTTTTGGTCCGGCCATGTTTAGCTATCTTCCAACCTACTCCTACACCACAAAACATAGCTCGTCGATGCAGTCGGTGGTTAGGCATATGTAACACATCTCCTAACCACCTCAACTGATGGAGTTTCAATACTTCATCTATTGATTCGCCATCCCTACCTAGTACCCGTTTCCTAACGACAGCATTGCTTACTCGGTTGTCCCACGGTATACGAGTAATGCTTTGAAGACATCCATAATCAAATACTAATAACCTACCAATGTCTTCTACTCTCACTGGTCGTGTTTCGCATCCGTATAGTAGAACAAAGCGGACCGCTGCGCAGTAGACTCGTCCTACGCCATAAGTGACGCAAGTTGGCAAAAGCCAGTCGGGCCCTCTGTATCCCTGCTGAGATCTCATCACTCACCACGCCATCAGCACTGATGAGACTCTCGAGATAAGTGAGGCGGTTAACATGCTCAACTACTTCAATCCCCACACTAGTTCAGGCGCTGATGCAAGCCCATCGGAAGACTCAGCATTTAGCCAGTGTCTTCACTAAACAGAACCATATCATCGGCATATTCTAGGTCAATAAGCGAGCCTCCTGGTAGGTGCACCCCTGAAAAGTCAGATGATGACAATGTTAACTCTAGAAGCATATCTACGACAAAGTTTAACAGGAATGGAGAGAGTGAACAGTCCTGACTAACACCATTTGAAGCAATCAATTCCGACGACAGTTCTCCATAAGCCCTAACTCGTCCAGTAGTGTTCAAGTAGATAGCTTGTATAAGGTTTATGTACTTCTTTGGTACACCTTTTGATGACAGACATTGCCACATAACCGCATTGTTGGCCGAGTCGAATGCCGCTTTAAGTTCGAGAAACACTACTATTGTCGGGCGTCTGAACGTTTCTTTGTTCTAGGACCTGACATATTGTTGATATCTGGTCTATACATCCATGTCCATGCCGAAAACCAGCCTGGTTTTCTTCAGTCTGTCCTTCACGAGCTTTCGTTTAGCGTCACAGTATTATTGAGGTCAATATTTTCGATACAATAATAGTTAAACTGATTCTTGTGACTGTGACAAAAGAACTTTTGTCCTTTCTTGTAAATTGGGACAATCAGGGATCGAGACCAGTCGGATGGGATTACGTCCAGTTCCCAGATTCTACGTAAGATCTCAGTCAATCTAGCTGCTAAAACTGGACCACCATCCTTAAAAGCCTCGGGAGTTAATCTATCGGGTCCTGCTGCTCTCCCTCGCTTCAGATTTCCTATGGCCTTTTCAACTTCATAAAGGTTCGGACAGCTTACGTGGACTTGACATTCAGGATGACTGGAGATCGTGGGTAACCGAAGAGTGGCTTGAGGCCAGTTGAACTGATCTTCAAAGTGTTCCTCCCATCGATCCGATCTCCTGGATTGAGAATAAATAATACTCCCATTCTTTTCCGAAATAGTCTCACATTTGGATTCCTAGTACCGGTTTATTTGATTAGTCGGAAGAGTTGTCTACTATTGCCGCTTCCTTTTCGATCGCTGTTGCTTTCGCCACCCACCACTGTTCGCGGTCGTTGCGTAGGCTTTTTATCAGCCTACGCCTAAGCTGACTTCGCTCTTCATCATATTTATAGCAAGGTGGGATGAGTTTACTAGCGTCTATCAGATTGGCGGATGCTACTGAGATCCACGGCTTCTTCCTAGCCTTATGGTTTACCTTGCTAGCATATATCACTGCTCTTTCCACAGCTTTTCGTATATCATTCTAAGCTGCCTTCACGTTCATGGTCGCCTATGTGTTTTTCTAGTTGCTCCGGAAATACATGCATAACTCTGCTATCATTAAGTTGAACCCTAAAAGGTACCTTTGCGGTGACTTTCCTACGTCCAGTAAGTCACAAACGAATACGCTTACTCACTACGGCATGCTCTCAATCTAAACATGTGCCCCAGAACCAGTCACAGTCCTCTATCAAACCCCTCCGTCGGTGGGTAACAGAAATGTGATCTAGTTGTATCCATCGTTGGGTCGACTTTGCGGGACGGCATCTCAAAATATTTTTTCGTTGTGCTTAAAGTTAGTATTTGCTAGGAATAGGCGCTTATCTGAGCTTAGATGCAAAAGACGGTCGCGATTATCTGTTCGATCTACCGCAACACCATAAGATCCACTCAGGTCTTTTTTCAGTGGTTCTACCTGCACGAGTATTATGTCACTACCCACCTTTAATATTTCAGAGCGCTCAACTTTCTGGAGTAGGTCCGGAAGCTTTCACTACAACTCATCTTTCACCTCGTCTGAACAGCAGTCAGTGAGATAGTAGGCAGATACGACGAAGAAGCAACAACGAGTGTCCCTATTTTCCCAAATTCTCACTGTGTCGTTTGTTCGGACAGCGCACAAGCGACTATTTACTGATATCCGGTTTAAGAGTTAGTTCTGCCCAACGATCTGATTCTTATACGTACGTCAGCGAGGCTAACTATTTTCACATTTTCCTTGTTACTGTGCTGTGCTAATGAAATATGCTAACTTAAACTAATTTACGCACGTTTCAGATTCTACTTCACGTCTGACTGACTGTCACGTTTGTTCTAAATTTCATATTCTCAATTCTATGTATATCAGTTATTTTTGTGTCCCCCTAATTATATTAGAACTTAGTTTTAATTTTTTAAAATTCTGTTCCATAATTTAGATTTCCCGGGTCGGATGGTCCTGGAATACCTACAGGTGTTGGTGGACAAGGAGGGAGACCAACTTATGGCTCTGAAAATGACGCAGAAGATCTATACAATTAAACGATTATCACGACTTTTTGATTTTCTGTGTGTGTAAAGCTTTAGGTTCAAGCTACCCTGTCATCACTTTTCACCTACTTATGCTTCTGGTTTTAATTCTAATTACCACTAAAAAAATCAGTTACATAATGCGTAACTGATTTTATTCCTTAAGTTGTTCCCTTTGTAATTCAAACAGAATTTGTACCTGGCATATTTCCATACATTTATTTCATGTTATTACTCACCATTTTGCTCAGTTAATTTTACAACGCGAAGTATTTTTTTCATTGTTGGAACACCTAAGATTTGGTTGTCACAGTACTGTACATTGAGTAAATACGAATGAAAAGTTTCTAGAATAAGTATCTCTTAGCAAGGTCGTTCTAAATTGTATTTTTGGTTCTAATCTGACAAATTGTAGATTGAATCTTAAATCTACACTACTAGATGGGACTAAGTTCTATTTGGTAAGTAAATGGTTGCAATAGGACATTAGGAAATGAAGATTCTATATTACCTGTTTCATAAACGAAGATAAATAAAGTTGTTGACTCGAACGTTATTATCATCATAGAAACAGGCAGAATTAAGGTAAAACGGACTGATTAATTTTCAATTTCGGATTATGTATCAATAATTTTAGTGCCTGTAGGAAATATGGATGAGCTTTGTTCCTAAACTTGATGACGCCACTAACCTCTGAGTCTCGTGAGTTTAAATCATGTCCAGCAGGTTGTCATAAGAAAACTCACGTTTTATGATTTACCTTCATCGTATATCGTCTTTCTTGCCTGCTGGTGCTGGACGCCTCCCTCGTAAGATCATAATGATTTTCTGGAAAGTGATTCAAATTAGCCTGCATCTCGAAATCCTCTGCAAGTATTTATCTTGTTTACTACATTCAAACAGTTATAAGGTGTGTGCACTTGCGAGAGATCTGGTCATTCTTCTAAAAGTATTTCGCACTTTTGTTTAGAAGATTAAAATAATCGTGATATAATCCTTCAGTTTTGATTCATATATTACCCTTGTGCATGACATTTTTTCTCATCAAAAGTTATAATAACGTTATAATATGGTTAGATTATCCAAATAAATAATTAGTTATTAAAATCTAAACCAGGAATTTCTTTGAACTGGAATTTGTTATTTCCGTATAGCTATGAAACTATCATTATTTCGTGTTTTGCCCGTTTACAATGTGTTACACGTTGCATGTAAACACGGGAGCGAGCGTCTGGTGGCACGACGTGCTACTCTAATCCGAGTGTCCCCAAACCCCCCCCCCACATTGAGTAAAGGAGAAGACTTGATATGAAGTAGAACCTGTATCCTACAAGCATCCAGAAAGTACGAGGTCCGAGTCTAAAAGAGAATCAGGATCCTCGGGACTAGGGATCCGGTTCAGTAAACGTTACAGATGATGCGTATTTATACTGTTAAGTCGAGTAGAAACCATCACTGAAGTCTAATAGAATTAGACTAACAAACAATTATCTTAGGATATATTAGGTGAACATCCAAACAATGATTCTTTGTTAATTAACCGCTAGACTTTTAATAATTTAACAAAACGGTATATTGCATCACCATAAACCCATTCTACCTGTAAGCCTGGTGCGTGCACAAAATTGACAAGGGGAACCAAAACCACAGTTCAGTTACTAGGGTTGTGTATCAAAGAGACATAGGCATTCGTGTTATGCTCAGTCAACCAAATCGGCATCACGTTGGTTACTGAGCGTTGTTTATCTACTACACGTCAGTGGGAGTGTAGATCATGAGGAGCTACTATCTAACGATGTTTTGGTGGTGAGGTTTTATTCGTATTATGATCGCAAGAGGTATTTGGAGACAACGGGGCTCTTTCCACCTACGCTTAAATGAACAAGTCGGGCGACAGAATATTTCACAATAATCAATTACTTTGAATTTGACTAGTGAAAATATCGAGATTTTGTATCGAGGCGATTCTTTACGCCTGGTATTCAGTTCAATTAGCAATCAACATTTATGCTGGTATCGACACTGTATCGACAGGAAAAATTATCGTGAACCAATCTAGAACTTCTTAAATAGCCAAGAAGCCCGTTTCTATGTGAAGTACTAGCCGGTGTTCACTGTGAACGGAATTTTCAGTATCAAACCATCTACCTCGGGCAGCTCATTCTTATTGAACGATAGATTGGATCGATGTTAATGTATATACTGATTACAGACTGAGTTTATAAGTTTAACGTATCTTTTTTGGGCTAAGTTAAGACAGTAACATTGTATTCAGTGTCACTTGGAAGATAAATGTTGACAAACTTTAGGAGATATTACACTAGTATATTCGTTATTACACCATTTTACTGGAAACTGTTTCAGTCATAAACACTTTTTTCAAATATACACTGATTATTTAAGTTAACTGATCATTTCAAATTATTATTTGATAACTAAGATGGTGACTAATATTGACTCGATTACCGTAGATGGTTTTAGGCACTATAAGCAGATTAACTTCGTTTTTCTAGCTTCAGAGTTCAATAAATTCTTTATCTCTTTATTAAATGTACGAATAATTATCTTGTTTATTCATATCTATTGAGCAATGATACAGTTACCGAACGTTTATATTCTTCTAATTTGACATAGCAAAACCTGTATATCAGTATGAATTGTGATTCAAAATAATCATTTGTAGTGGTATACTTTTACGAAGAAAACACATTTGCTGAAATATAAACATTTATTATTGTACTTAATTCTGACAATAATTGTTATATTGTACACCTTGTTTATCTGTACAAAAACACTATCTCTCGTGCACCAAGCGTGTCTTTGCTTTTCGGCCTTCTCTCCTCGCTCCTTGTTAGCTGCTCGTGTACCCTGGTCTCGTGATTATTTCGATATCACGAGGCTAGAACTCAGTATACTTCTTCCTCTAGAATCGTCTTTTATCTGATTACTAGAGTAACGGGATTAATATTTCTTATCCCGCGAAGTATGTTTATTTGGTACTACCACACATTAATGATACTAAAACTGAAAAAATCATGAGAAATTTAAATGTGGATTTGAATAATTTACAAATTATTCATACAAATGCATAGTCTAAAATGACTTAATCATTTTATTCAACTAATTGAGAAGACAATTTTCTTTAAAGGATCATAACATAACTATTAGACAATCATTATAGTAGAAGTATAATTTCCTGATATAGTGATCGACAGTTTTAATACTACTGTGGTGTGAGCTACTTATAAGTAGTATATGACATGAGTGTCAACGTAATGTCTGGCAGCAGAAGATGGGGGAAGATCAAGAAAGGAAGAGTTAGAACACGATGGAATTTGTATGAAACGCATGAATAGTGACAATGGATTGATGTTTTGCAACAGGAACAGTCCAGTTCGATATGATGGACTGATATTTTGCAAATGAACGATTTACGATATGATTTTCCGATTTTACTGAGTAACTCTGTAATTTCCGTTAAATACAATTCGGTTGCCCTCACCTGTGCTCTCCTTCACTACACTACTGCTAATAATTATAATAATAATACCAACAATAGATTTTACTTGCTGTAAGCACAATAACGTAAAATTCATGTTCATCTAAAAAGTTCCTCACATTTATAGTCTGATATAAAATATATTTTTCATTCACAGTTTTATAGATTTAAACATACTTTAAAAGCTCAGACAGCTGGTGCTTACTAACTGGCTTTATACTACAAAAGAGATTTTACACTATGTGTCACAAATTTTCTGAGAGTGATGTCATCAGTACCATTGAAAATAAAGTAGACAAGGTGCTGTATACAGTAAAAAGTGGAATTCAATAGCCTAGAGTGGATATCAACTTTATATAACCACTGGAAACTAACTTATTAATATGGAAACAATTCTTTTAAATTTACAACTCAATAACATTGAATATTAGTGACTTCTATAACTGCCATACTGATGAATTTAAAAATACTAATTAGTAGTAGTAGTAGTACCTGAACGGAAAGTAAGTGGAATTAAGTCTTTCACTGTTAGAGAAACTTATTTATATAAAGTGATCTCTTTACATCCATAAACTCATTTTAATGATCTATATACGGTTAGAATTAAGGGGTATATCTAATCGACTAATATTTAAATTACGTCTGACAAAATTATAAAGAACACATTTTTTATAATTATTTGATAAAACTTGATCTAAAATGTGACCAGTGAGTCTTGATATAAATCCCAATTCCTCCTGTTGGTACGGATGTTTAAACTGGACAGTTCACTAGTGGGACGGAAACAGATTGCTACATTTGTTTTCCTCTTGACATTGACGTCTCAATTAATTTCTACATACTGTACAACTGAACTACCCAATATCGTTGCTTATAATACCATTAACGGAATGCATAATCAAATTGTAGTGATCGCACTTTTACGAAGAAAACGTGGTTGGTTAAAAAGAAACATTCATTATTATAATCAATTGTACCAGTGGTTGTTTTATTGATCTTCTTGCTTATTTACACTATTTGTACTAAACACCTCCTGTTGCCATCTCGTTTTTGCTGCTCTATACCTTTTCACCCACTTTCTCTGCCACGATTCCGGAATTCTTTCGATACTACGAAATCGCCGGCAAATATACTCATTCGTCTGGACTATCCCTTCTTCCTTGTTATTGATTCACAACGCGATGAAGCGTAAAGACCAGAACGTATTTGGTTTGTAGAAGTGTTCATAGTTATCCTTCGTCTCGAACTACTACAGAGTCATGACCTCTAAATGACATTCAGGAACTAAAGTATTAAATACAACCAACATTTGAAATATAGGAACTTTATGATTTTATGAATGAATATTCGGTTTTGTAGGTAGTTTTACGTGTGCAAGTACCAAATATTAAAATCCATAAAACGTAGGGAATGATATTTTATCAATTAATAAAGTAATCAGAAATTATCAAAAGATCTCATGTATTGATGCTATTGGGCCACTTAGATGAATGACCAGTAATTACCAAGGTAT